TGCTCAATCCCTGAAATGATGTAAGACATTATCTTACAATACTATAATACTAAATTTTTTGTCATTCTTTTAGAACTATTATATCGTGACATGATTAGCCAGCCACACACATTGATCACTTAAAGAATTACCACAAAAAAATGTGTGTATGTAGAATAGTTACTTTTATGAGTGATATGTTTATGAANTGCTCAATCCCTGAAATGATGTAAGACATTATCTTACAATACTATAATACTAAATTTTTTGTCATTCTTTTAGAACTATTATATCGTGACATGATTAGCCAGCCACACACATTGATCACTTAAAGAATTACCACAAAAAAATGTGTGTATGTAGAATAGTTACTTTTATGAGTGATATGTTTATGAAACTTACATTGTACAAGTTCTTAAACAAAATTTGAATCAGTAAAGCTTAACATCTTATCAAAGGTAAAGACGAGCGGTAATGTTTTATTTTTTAAATGGATTATGTTTGTATATGATGTAAAAAAAAAGTTAATTTTTAGTCAATGTGAGCGAGTATGTACTAGTAGAAAAGACTGTTTATAAACAGAATTCCAAAACTTAGGAGAAATAACTGCGTAACAATCGTCTGCAATAGGTACTAGAAAAATACCTCACGTTTTATGACAAGGGGATTGACCAGCAACCCATTGATAAAAGTAGATTAGTGGCAAACAATGATAATTGTCAATATATCACAACGACAAATTACGACATTATTATAGTACATCATCGGATTATAATTCCTTTTAATATAGTCCAATAATATTCATTTTCGAAGATTATCTAGATAAGGTATTATAACCGACAATCAGTATATACTTCTAGTTCAGTAGTAATACCGAATGTAACACAATAACGTTAAGTTTACAGTCTTATCAAAACATTTAATGTTATCACTTCGTATCATAGTAATAATATTTAGAACTGTCCTACTTCCTTAAATATTGAAATTAGTCATTGCAGTGTTATTATATAAATATAAACGATTCCATATTGCCGACGACTACTCCTATCGGTTCAAACAACGTATTATTCGTTATTCGTTAAAGAGTTCCATATTTAATACATCGATAGTACCTCATTCAGGTAAAAGTTAATCATGAAAATCGTTTAAATACTTACGACAAAGAGAACGAAAGTATTGGTAAAAAATTTATATTCAATTCTCTGTTCACATATTAAACAACAACCACTGCTATGAAGCCAAATATATATTGCAACTTCGACTAGAATTCTATATCGTATGTATTTCGTATATATACATATATTTATATATGTATACACATATGTATAGTGGCTCATAAAAGTGTTCGTACACTTTTTAAAACGCAATAACTTTCTTAAAACTGAACTAAATGATGTGAATTTTTTTAGATGATAGAGGGACTAGTCTGTCTACTAGGCAACGACTAAAATGTTTTTTTGTTTTTTAATTTTGCTATTATTTGGAATGACAAAAAGAAAATAAAAACTCGCGTTTTTTAAACTCTTTTTATATAAGCCTATGACGAAAATTTAAAAAGTGCCTTTCGTAGATCTCGGTAACTTATATGTGTACTGAAAATATGATCAAAATCGGTTAACCAAGAGTCGAGCTACAGGTGCTGAAAGATTAAAAAACTGCAGATTTTTTAGTTTTTGATCAAATTCGTAACAAAACTGCGATTTTTACCATCTTTAATTTGTTGTAACTCATAACAACGTCAACCGATTTCAATAAAATTTTCAGCATGCATATAAGTTACCGAGATCTATGAAAGACATTTTTTAAATTTTCGTTATAGACTCAGATAATAAAAAATTAAAAAACGAGAGTTTCTTTATTTTTTTTTGTCATTCAAAGTAATAGCAAAATTAAAAATAGCATTTTAGTCATCGTCTAGTAGACTAGTAGTCCCTCTATCATCTAAACAAAATTCATGTCACTTAGTTTCAAAAAAGTTATTGCGTTTTAAAAGGTGTACGAACACTTTTGTGGACCACTGTATACATATATCCAACGAATATGTATATGCAAATACTAATATTTTCGTATATACATTACTTGAAATCATATATATCGTAGCATATAGCAAATGCGCATTCACATACTTAATTCTCAATGTTAGTATTATTAGTTTCTGCTTATTCATGGATATATTAAACACTGACTACTATTGCTATTACTTATCGCCTTGTACTTGATCATAGTCAGAAACTTATTCTCTTTAGTTGTACAAGTCTTGGATTGCATCTATCGATAGTGTTGTGTTAAACAAATCAATGTAAAATATATAAAAGCATTATCTTTAATCAACTAGAACAAGCATTCTTCTTGTAAATTTAAATTGAACTACCAAAAAAAAAAACGATTTAAGTATCTTAACAGGAAGTACTGTATAACTGAACTCAAAGCTTAAATACTTGAATTGTTTTAATGTGAACTTTCATGTTTCCCAATAAAATGAGAATCGCTTGGAAATCATTGAAATAATTATTATGACTTATTCGAACTACAACATTTTGAGCAGTCAAAACAACTGGTGTGCTATCTTTTGGTTGACCAAGATGCACGGGTACCACCACTTCCAATTATTTGATTCTGAAGCTCTGTTATTGTTTCTTGCAAGGCTTTCTTCTCTCGTAGAAGCATCTGTATATCCTCTTGCGCCGCATTTAAATGTAATTTTACTGCATCGGATTCCTCTTTAACGCGCATTAATTTTGCATTCTCCTCGGACAATTTTTCCAGAGTGTCAACACGTCGACGAAGCTCCTCGTTATCTGACTTCAACTGCTTGCTAGACTTTCTTAAAAGATTTATTTCTATTTCGTAGTCTACATTCTGATCTGTTTGATTATCATTGTTTGATAACGTTATGAAAGAATCATTGGAGCTCAACATATTCACTAAAAGAAGAGAATATCTAAATTAGACGAATCAATTGAAAGACGAAATCTTTTTACATGGCTTAATAAGATAGTAAATAAGCTAGGATTCATCAGCAACTAAATTATGTATAAATAATAAATAATTTTTTCTTTCCAATAAATAATTGATTTCATTATATGCACGCCGTTCATTCATGCTGTATTATTCAAGTGCATATTCTATAAGCACTGCAATGAGTATGTATGATTATTTACAGAGATAATTTTTAAAAAATTAAAAAAATATCGTGCCTCATTAGTAGCGAATATTCATGGACGTATTTTCGTGAAATGATTAAGAGTAAGCAGTAAATTTTAACACTACACTCATCTACTTTTGTATTATCAATGCTCACATTAGAAAGGCCATCTGAATGCACGGGACAATTACATAATTTATGGTATTAATTAGAAAAAAATGAGGTAGTATAGGTATATTTGCCACTTGCATGTACTTTAAATACTTGGTAACAACTATACTACTGAATTACAAAATAGATATAGATTACTGTTTACAACTACACTATGTCAGCATTTTAACGATGATATAATTAACAAATGAAATGATTACTTACCAACTGGTTCAATATGAAAAGCACCATTTATATCTCGCACTATTCTAAGTTTTGAAATATTCATATCTATAGGAATCGGTCCTGGCGAAGTAATATTAGTTGGTGGACGATCTTCATTCAAATGTAATGAAATACACTCTAAATATATCTGTAATAAATAAATATGGTAATTAAAAAATATTACCCAAAGTAAAACCGAAGGAACTACAACTGCATTTTCTATACCTGGGTTGGTATTGGCTTAGGTATGATTTCATCTTCAAACAAATCTTTAAGCCCGCTTATTGAGCTCATTGATAAAATCATTGATATGTCAGTAATTTTAATATCTAATTTATCTTCGAATAGATCTAACACACTTTGTTTATTGTGTATATCAATTATTCCAGTATCTATATCCAGCTCGGTATTATAACTTTGACTTTGAGATGATTGCACATTCTTGTTGCTTGTGACATGGCTCGCTTGAGACAGTTTGTAAGAATCGGATTTGCATTTTAAGTCATGATCCAAACGAAGTTTGATACATGATCTACAGTTCGAATCTGAAGCTAATTCAACCCAACCTCTAGATCGTGCACTGAATTTTGTCTAGGAAACAAAAACATCAAAAAGATAAATTGATGTAGAAATGGATAAACTTAAATGTTTACAAACTTGTGATAGACGCATTTACTCTGTTATGTTACTATAGAAATTGTTTGCTTTTTTGTAACTGTTATTTTTAAAGGTCCATAATTGCAAAAAATAAATCATAAAAATTTCAGACACAAAGTTATAGCTAGAGCCAATAATGTAAAAAGAAATTCTACAATTAAAAAAGTTAGGAGATATAGTTCTAC